CTGAGGAAAATCTTAATTTCGCTTCAGATATTGTTATGATATTCTACTTCTCTGAAGGTTCACTTGCCTTTTTCTTAAGCTTACCGGACGCCAACATCTGATTGTCATTGAAACTTACAAGCAATTCGAGTGTGTTATCAAAGAACTTAACAAAGTCGTAAGAATTCCTTATTGAAAACTTTTGGGTTGCTGAGATTTCCTTTAACTGTGTGCAAACCTTATTATTTAAGATATTCTTAAGTGGGGCATCATCCTTATGAATTTTCGGCAGATAATAAACAATTGTTGGTCTAGCATTTCTCTGAAGAAATGCGATGATTTTCCACTCTGTCATACCTCCTTTTGAATCCTTAAATATAGCATTATATTTTTCATAGTTATATAATGCTTGCAACATTATGTCTGCATAACTACCACTGATCCCACTTTATCTGCCCTCAACATTATTTTCTCATTTTATTTAGATTCCCTTATGATTGTAGTGGCTCTACTAAGCTTATACGATAATTCTACAAGGCTAGGAACGATGTGTAACTGAATATCACCCTTTGTCTCCCTTGTGAACCCTTCTGCAAAATATAAAAGTTATAACATTATTTTCACCCATAAGTTACGATATAGATATCAATTGTTGACGCATAATCAGAAAGAAAATATGAATTTGTAAACAATTAGTCATCAAGATTCATCAGATTTGAGCATTTGCATAAAGCTTCAGACCAGATAAAGAAAATGAACCCAAAATGATTTTTAAAAATAGGACAGCTCAAATTCTATATCTAAGTTTATTATCTGACTAATCCATTAAAGTAAGTTTTAAAAAAACAGCTTCACTAATAGAAATGCTTGAAAGCTAAAAATCGGATCAACATTCTTAAGTGATGCCCAAGGGCGAAAGACCAAATTGAACATTGATAGAATCCGACAGTAACTTACTGCTTCATCTTTCCAAGCTCCACTTTGATGGCGAGGAAGGAAGGTCGTAGATGAGGATCCTCCACCCAAGCCCTGGAGATCAGTTTTATCAGATCCTCGGATACTTCATCTTTAACCTCGAGGGTGGGTCGTAAAGGGATGGGATTAGCCTCTGTGGGACCTGCTCGAACCCGATCTATAATTGTCTGTCAAAAACGAAAGAAATAAAGGTCATTTTGATCCTGAGTTGTAGTTAATGATAGCCTATATTGCCGGTGGCTGCCAAATATATAAAAGGACATGATGTTGTGCGAATACGAAAAGATAAGCACAAGAGTCCACACTATCCTAAATTATTGCCTCATATGTATGTGAAGGGCCTGTTTTTATTCAAAAAAAGGAAAGTTTCTGATCCACAATTGCTGTTTTTACTTCCAGTTTTAGAATCTCGCCTATTCCAGCATCTACTATCAATTTAGATTAGACTGTAGTTACAGCTAAGTCGGGTTTATGAAAGAACACACGTTGGCTATACCAGGTGATTATGAATATAAAATATAGTTTTATGTTATAAGTACTGAGCCCATAGCATCACAAGATGTAAAAAAATTAGGAATATTAAAATAAATAATTATATAAACTATAGTAGGACATAAGTTTTACCAACCTCCATAGGAAGGGATTGGTCCTTGATGTAGAAAACTGATTTTCTATAGATAATCTCTTGACATATAATTGCAAAACTGTAAATATCACCTTTGGCTGTTGCTCGAGGGACTGGGATCAACTCTCTTGCAAGCTCAGGTGCACGCCAAAGATAATCTGAAAAAAAAGGTGAATGTACTATAATCAAGAAAAACTTTGAAAAATTAAAATAAAAGAAGGATTGTAATCGAAGTAGTTCGGTTTTCATAACTACCAGTATATAGTGAATAAAGACCTCACTGATGATTGATTTTTCCCAAAATGATATAAATATGTCTTTCGCCTCGATTAAAATTAATTTAATCTTGCTGAACTGAAGTTTCAGCCTGGTTCGGATGGGTGTGCCGCTGAAACTTATGCGAGGTCGAGAATGAGAATAGCTTTTGAGAGGCAAGGCTGAGTAAACTTCAAAGGCAGCGTGAGACCGACTTAAGCCGTATTGGGAAAATAAAACTATCTGTCCTTTATCAGCTTATGCAGTCTAGGTTGAATGCAGATCTTACGAAAGAAGAAGTCATTAATCCAAGAATGGTATGGAAAAGAAATAAATCCCAAGAGTAAATAATAAAAGATTCTAAATTAGGTCCCAGAGAAAACCTCATTTCAAGCACAAAAAGAGTTTCAAAATTAAGTCTAGATACACATAAATATTGGAGAAAAAAGAGAAATAAAAATTTTCATTGGCACTGCCAAATAACGAAGGGCAATAGGTAGACATTTTTCCAGCAAATATCAGAGAGTTAAGTGTAGGGGGGAGAAAATTAAATCTTGTATTGACGTTTCAAAGTAAAATTACTTGAATAAATGTATGAAATGGACTTTGACAGTAATCAGACTTACTTCGATATTAAACAATAAGTCCAGCTTATTAATTAATGTTTATTAAATTCGCTTTGTCAGTGAAACTAACAATCACCGCAATATTACCACAAAAGTTGTTCTAAGATATATTAATATATTTAAGCTAATGAATATAGAATACTATATCGAAGATATGAAAATCAAGTGGTGTGGCCTTTAGTATCGTGGCGGTCTCCTTCCGTTGTTCTCACAACTTGGTCGTATTGTCAAAAGTCCATAAGATCTATGGTCATTTCCAAAGTCGGATCATGGCCTTG